GCCTTCCAAGTTCTGGTAGTCCTCTAGGTGTGTTTCTTCTTAATCAGTACCCCTTCACTCCCCAAAGTGACCAGTGTGGTGACATCTAGCTTTTTGCATACTATACTATGTCATAAAGCATTCCTTTTGGTCTCTTATGTATAAATCTTCTTTTTGTTTGTTTGTTTGTTTTTTGCTTTTTGTTTTTGTTTTTTCGAAGCAGGGTTTCTCTGTATCTTTTGAGGTTGTCCTGGAACTCACTCAGTAGACCAGGCTAGCCTTGAACTCAGAGATCGATCTGCCTCTGCCTCCTGAGTGCTGGGATTAAAGACCTGTACCACCACTGCCTGGCTTATATTATATCAGCTTTATAGTTATTATGGATTGATTTAGAAATTTTCTCTACAGGTTTATGAACACTTATCTGCCAACTGGTGACACTATTTTGGGGTGCTGTAAATCTTATAGGATGTGGAGCCTAAGCTGACAATAGGTCATGTGGAGTTTGCCTTTTGAAATCATGCCAACCCTTGCTACTCTGTACTTTGTGGTCCAGGCCACTACAGTATGAATCTGCATCGTGTGTTCTTGTTACTATGCCTTCCCTGCTCTGATGGACTAGAAATCCTCTGAAGCAGTCAAAAGAAATGTTTCCTCCCTGATGTTGTTGGGTTGGGTTTCTTTGTAGAGTGAGAAGTTATTTGCTATGATTATGTCTACTTAAAAACTATTTATCATCATCATCATTATTATTGTGTTTGTGTGGATATGGGCATGCCTTTGCTATGGTGCATCTGTGAAGGTCAGGGAACGGTTTTCTCTTTTCATCATAAGTTCTGGGGATTAAACTTGGTTTTTCAGGTTTGTACAGCAAGTACTTTGCTGGATAAACCATCTTACTGGCCCTATATCTACTTGACAGAAATGTCACCCTGTCACTTCTCTAGGACATTTAATCCAGGTAGAATATCCCTGGGCAACTCATATCTATGTGTCTGCCAGAAATTGCCTTTGCTGTCATTTTACAACATTGTATGAAATGTCTTAACCAAAATAACTAGGTCTTTAGTTCAACTGAGTGATATACTTACTGATAGCAGTTTTGATTTTTCTGTTGATTTGATATATTCTTTTAAAATTTTTATTTTATGTGTGTGGATGTTTGTGTGCATATATGTCTGTTCACCACGTGTATCCTTGGTGCCTGAACAGGCCGGAAGAGGGTCTCTCCCTCTACTTCTCTTCAGATCCCCTGGAACTGGAATTACAGACAGCTGTGAGCCCCCAGGTGGGTTCTGGGGACAGAATCTGGACCCTCTATGTGAGCGGCTAGTGCTTTTAACTGCTGTGCTATCTTTCCAGTCCCAATTTGATAAGTTCTTAACTACAAGGCAAGGACCTTAGTAATATAACCCTCTTTGATTCTAAAAGCACTTGAGAATGTAGCAATACATTAGAGCCATTCATTTTCTCTAGACAGTATTCAGAGATGTATCTGTCCTGGCACTAGGTATTCATGCTGAAAATAGTTTTTGTGAACAGGGAAATTTCATTTGTTCATCTATAGTTAATAAATTTTTAGTAGTAACAATTATACACTTTTGTAAAGAAAATGATTAAAATACCAACATAGACATAAACATATTTATCCACAAAAAGGTTTTTTTAAAATTTATTCTTAATTTTTAAATTTTTTTCGAGACAGGGTTTCTCTGTGGATTTGGATGCTGTCCTAGAACTAGCTCTTGTAGACCAGGCTAGTTTTGAACTCATAGAGATCCACCTGCCTCTGCCTCCTGAGTGCTGGCATTAAAGGCGTGCACCACCAATGCCCTGGCCAGAAATAGTTTTATTATGTTTAAAGTTAGGGCTAACTGCACATAATACTTAGTTATAATTGATAATGCTTTTCCAAATGATTGAAAAGTAGCTCAGGGTTTCTCCTTTTTCTGCCTGTTATTTTTAGTGTTAACAGAAGAAAAAAAGTTAAAACAGTTTTATGTATCTATTTGTATGATGTGTGTACAAATGTTTACATGTGGTGTTTGTGTGTGTGTATACATGTGTGTAGATGCTGAGGGTGACATCAAGGGTCTTACTTAATTTGATGCAGGGCCTCTTAGTTGAATTCAAAGCTCACCTGTGTGACTAGTCTAGTTAGTCAACATGCTCCTATGATCCCTTATTTCTGCCTTCCCAGCGCTGGAATTATAGGCAAGCTGCCAGGTCTACCTGACATTTACATGACTTCCAGTTTTCACTTATGTGGGTTAAGCAGTTTATCCACTGAGCCATCATCTCCCAGTCTTAAACCATTTCATTTTTAGTTTTTTTTTTTAAGTCGGGCAATTTTAATTTTAATTTTAATCCAAGTACTTGGGAGGCAGAGGCAGATCTCTGTGAGTTTGAAGCCAGCCTGGGCTACAGAGAGAGCTGCAGAACAGGCTCCAAAGCTGTAGAGAAACCCTGTCTTGAAAAACAAAAACAGAAAAAAGTTTTAGAGGTGTTCAGTGGTTAAGCACACTTGTTGCTCTTGCAGAGGACCCAAGTTTAGTTCCCAGCAGCTACTTGGTGACTCACAGCCATCTGTAACTCCAGTTCCAGGTGATGACACTGTCTTCTAACATCTGGGATTAAAGGTGTGCGCCACCACCGCCTAGCTTTTTTGGTTTTCAAGACACCTCTAAAACATTTTTAATTTGACTTTTTCCTTGTGAATTACTAGCCACATACTTGTCATTTCCTATGTTTTCTAGTATCAAGGCTCAGAAAAGAATGGTCCTGTTGCATGTCCCAGGCTTATACCTCCCTTTATTCAGAGAGACTCCAGGTTAAGGACACCTTGTTTTTAGTCATTATTTCTTTTTTGAAAATTTGTTGTTCATTTTTGAGATTGTATTTTAATTATAACATTTCTCTCTCCAAATGCTCTCATATATTCCTTCCTGCTCTCCAAATTTGTGGCCTCTTTTTTCATCAATTGTTATTACGGGCATGTATTTGTATGTACATATATTCCTAAGAACAGCCTGCTGATCTGTATAATTTTACATGTATGTATGTATGTTTTCAGGACTGACTATTTGGCACTGGACTACCAATTGGGGTGTTCTCCCCTGGGCAGAATTACCTCTCCTCCCAGCTTTATTCAGTTGTAAGGGCAGTTCTTAAGTTCTCACAGGAATCCCCTAGCCTCTGCCTCCTGAGTGCTGGGGATTAAAGGTGTGTACCACTGTGGCTTTTCATTGTGATACAGGACTGACAAAGTTATCCCAGCTGGCTTGAGCTTGGGACATCCTCTTCAACCTCTTATGTTTGTTGGGATATGCCATAAGGGGAAAATATCTTCCATAGTTTAGCACAGAGCAAATTGGGATGCTGATCCCTAATTCAGTGGTTTCATTTTCTCTCCAGAAGAAACAGCTGAATGGTTTCAGATGAAGCATGTGAACTGTACTCTTACTCCTGCATTAAAATAGCTTAGCTGCTGGATTCTCCTGGGTGCATACCTTTGAGGAGACCAAGATAGAAGCTTTTTGATCCTTAGGGAGCTGGCTAGTAAACGACTATGACTGGAAGGTGACTTTGAGAGGCTTTGTATTTCTCTTGAATTAATCTTTAAGACATTATTAATACTGCTTAAGTGGTTGTTATAAAAAGTAACTAATTAAAAAGCAACAGTACTTCAGAAATACAGGTTTAGATGTGTTAAATACTGAAAATTCCAAATTTGCTAGTAAGTAAATGTCTGCTGAGTTTTGAAGTCAGGGACTGCTGAGTTTAGAAAATACAGTTTTGGAATAGGTGATACTTAGTGAAAACAGTTTCAAAAGGCAGGGTGATTATCTTGTGCAGCCACCAGAGTCCCTTTGGCATTTCCAGGTATCTACTTTTTGTGTGTTTTGATACAAGGCCTCTCTGTAGCCTTGGCTGTTCTGGAACTCACTGTGTAGACCAGGCTGGACTGGAATTCAGGGATCTGCCTGCTTCTGTCTCCCAAGTGCTGGGACAAAAAGTGTGTGTCATCATTCCTGGCAGGTGTCAAGTTTTTAAAAATTTATTATTAGTTTGTGTGTGTACATGTGTGTGCAAGTTGCCCTAAAGCATGTGTGGAGGGAATTCAGAGGACACCTTTTGGAAGTTGGTTCTCTTCATAGGCTCCAGGGATCAAAATCAGGTTGTCAGGCTTTTTCCTACTGAGCCATTTCCTCCAGTGCCAAGTGTTTGTAGCCTATCCTATGTAATAGCAATAGCTGTCAAGATAAGTACTCTCATTATTCCATTTTACAAGTATGGACACAAAGACATCTCAGTCTCTTAGTAACTTATAATTATAGTGTACTTCCCCTGCCCTACCTACTTACTTACTCTTTTTTTTTTTTTTTTTAACTTGAAAACAGTTTTAAACTTACAGAGAAGTTGCAAGAATAACCATTCAGGAAGCTGAGCAGGAGGAATTCGTGCACATGCACACACATACACAAGAGAAAGTTTTTTAAAAGAAAGGAGAGAGACATGAAATGGGCAATAGCATGCATGAGGCCCTGGGTTCAATGCCTAGCACCTCTGTCTGGATGTAATGGCTCACACCTGCAATCCCAGGAAAGCAGAGAGCTGGCTTAAAGCTCATTCTGGGCTATATATCCAGTGTCAGGTCAACCAAACTACATGAGACCCTATCTGAAAAAAGGAGCCAGGGACGAACGAGGAGGAAGAGGAAGAACATTATAAAAAATAGAATAAAGAACCCCAGAAATTCTAGAGTTCCCACTTGTGGTTTTCATAGTTGTTTTGTTGCAGTTTTGATATTGACAAAGAAAATCAGTTATTACCCACATTATGCATTTTGGGCCAGAATGTTGTAGAAAATGGTGCTGTGTTCTTCCTGATGTGCCCTCACAGGTGGCACACAGTTTGTTCCATTAAATGGAGAAAGGGGAAAGGAAGAGTGGGGATGGGAAGAAAAACTTCAGTTTGCTTTCCAGAGAGCACCCTATTTAGCAAATGCCGTTTCCTTCTAGCATCCTGGTGGGGAAGAGGTTCTGCTGGAACAAGCTGGTGCTGATGCAACCGAAAGCTTTGAAGATGTTGGGCACTCTCCTGATGCCAGGGAAATGCTAAAGCAGTACTACATTGGTGATGTTCATCCGGTAAGAACTGTTGTGTAATTCAGTCACTTATGCAGAGAAAACTACTGGGCAGGCATTAACAGGATGAGAATGAATTATTTAGAGTAGAAATTCAACCCAGCTCTCAGGCCTGGTTTTCTCCAGAATCATCAAGTTCTCTAGTGTAGCCCATAGTATCAGGAAAGTTAAGGGAACTAGTTTTTTTACTTTTATTGACTGATTTTTATAATTAATAATATCTGTTCCTAAAATAGTGGTTTGGTTATTCTTGAAAAGTTCCTTGCTAACGGTATTAGCTATGAACTTGTAAGTCCTTTGTGCTCAACATTCTAATAGGATTCATTTAGATCCATCTAACATTGTTCTTTGTCTTTCTCTCTTATTTGAAACAGAATGACCTTAAACCTAAAAAAGATGGTAACAAGGTAAGAAGTCATTAATTTGTCTTGTGTGTTTCAAGTATTTCTTCCTTTCTTTTTTAATTAATTAAAATTAATTAATTAATTTGAGACAAGGTTTCTCCTAGCTGTCCTGGAACTCACTTTGTAAACCCAGGCTGGCCTTATATTCATAGAGAACCACCTGCCTCTGCTTCCCAGGTGCTGGGTGGGATTAAAGGCGTGTATCACAACAGCCTGGCTTTTAAAAATAATTGTAATAAGAGAAATAAAAATGGGCTATAAGGATGTCTCAGTGGTTAAGAGCACTGGTTGTCCTTCCAGAAGACCTGGGTTCAGTTCCCAGCAACCACATGGTATAGTTCCTAACTGTCTATAACTCTAGTCCCAGGGGATCCAATGTCCTCTTTTGACTTCTGCTGACATTGTATACACATAATGTACAAGTGATATTCATGTAGGCAGAACACCCATACACATAAAATAAAAATAAAGGCTTAAAACAAGAAGAGAGCCAGAATATGGTGGTGCATACTTTTAATCCCAGCACTCGAGAGGCAGAGACAGATGGATCTCTGTGAGTTAGAGTTTCCTTTTTTGGGGAGTGGGGTAGGGTTTCAAGGCAGGGTTTCTCTGTAGCTTTGGAGCCTGTCCTGGAACTAGCTCTTGTAGACCAGGCTGGTCTCAGACTCACAGATATCCACCTGCCTCTGCCTCCCGAGTGATGGCATTAAAGGCATGTGCCACCACTGCCCAGGCTTTGAGTTTATTTTTATCCAAACCAAAATTCTATTTTTAAGTAATTTGGATTTTGTACCTGTCAGGACAAAAGAATAGCTAAATCTTAAACGAAAGAAAGAAAGCGTTTTAACAATTTGTTTGTGAGTCTAGCCTTTAATGGCTGAGCCATCTCCTCAGCCCAGCAAGAAGCATTTTGTTAATGCTTTGTATGCTTTTTTATTGAGACTCCAAAGTATGGTTATTGTAGTTTTGAAACAAATTAGGTTATGGGTTCAGTTTAGGAGAAATCCTATTCTTACTTATATAAAACAGATGATAATGCTCTGATTAAAATTTTTTCCTACAAGATATCTTCTTTATCTGTAAAATAGAAGCCTTTCTTTCTGTCCCTATTTCCCCAAATGAATTTTTAAAAACCTGTGTGCTCATATTTTCTCACGCTCTTCCCAGTTTTCTCACTGATGCAGCCAGAACAAAAGATTCAATATTTGAGTATGTGTGAACCTTAGTGTGCTTTGTCTTATGTACCAAGAAGAGAGCTTACAAGCCTTTTCTAATTCCACAAGCAGGGTGTTCATTGCCCATGTTCTTACAGTTTCCTGTGACTTCTGCCCTTCAGAAGGTTATCACACTGCCCTCTGACCTCAAGGGATAGCAGTCTAGGTATTTCCTAACTCATCGTGCACACAGTAGACTCCCTCCTTCCTTCTTCTAGATCCTCATTCTTCAATTAGCCAGGAAATAATGAACAGGTTTGGCATAGCAGTTCAAACTGGCCTTGGTACAAGAATTCTTTCAATTCAAGAGATTGCTTGCTTGGCAGTGTCTGCCTTCTGTTGCCCTGAAATCCAGAGTGTTTATATATATTAACTCTTCTGTCTTGCTCCTCTATTGCTTTGAACTGTTGAATTACGAAAGGCAGATGAAATGGTTCTTTTAACATTTGTAAGCACTTTTGACTGGTTTTTGTCTTTCCTTCCTCACACCTTACCCATTCTTGATTCCTCTTGTGACATTAAGGTAAAATTTGAGCTAATCATGGCCTTAATTGAATCATGAACAAAAATGCTGCTCTTAGAGTTCATTTCATTCAAAGGATAGTATAATTTTCTACAAGGGACACACCTTGAATTTAGGAGTTCACTCAGTTCTTCACAGCAATCATGAAAGCACTCTTTATGTTAAAACAGTAGAAATACATTTTTATAGTTACCTTGTCTAGAAATGTATCAATTGTTTCTTGTTGCTGGTTTTCTTTCTTGATAATACAGGAGGCAGTTAGGAACATTTGTGGAGAATGGACAGTAGTGTGTCAGAAATTCTGTTTCTTGCATCAACCTAAATTGGGATCCCCTGGAATGAACTTGAAAATACAAACCAAGTGTTCATTTCCTGGGCTTTCACTATTCTTGTTCAGAATCTCTTGAGTTGAGCTGGGTTTGTATTTTGAATAGCCTAGGTGATAGGAAGGAAGCCGAGCACCACACTTTCTGCTGATCCTCCCACACCACCCTCATGCAAGAAGTATAGAAAAAAGCCTCCTCAGCTCACCAAATGGTATGGTAGTTTAGACCTGCAAGTGTAATGTGGCCTCATCCTAGGTTAGGGAGGGACCGAAAGCTGTGCTTTCAAGCTTGTTTTTCTCTAGCTCCTTGTTCCCGAGAGACCTGTCTCCATTAGGATGGTCCTGGCTGTTGTTTGTTTCCAGTCAGGCAGTCTGTTACCTTCAGGCAGATTAGGCAAAGAAAGCCTTTTGGAAAAATTTCAAGACTATCTACCAGGTTTTCATAGAATTATATTCCAAACTGATTCCTTTTCCAGGAAGAAATTCTTGATCCCTCAGGTTTATTTCTATGCTTGATGTTAGCCAAAAGGCTGAGAAATGATCTGGTTTCTCACAGTGGTTGAAACAGAGATTTCTATCCTAGGATATAGGTATCTCTTTCCTTCACTTCTTTATGTATGGTTAAACATTCACTGTCAAGAAGTAGGAGGGACGCTCATTTTATTAACTAGTTTCCTTTCTTGTGGTTCAGGGTTTCTGAATCTGTAAGAAATGATTTTTTTTTAAGCTTCATTAAGTAGAGCCTTCAGCTTTAAATAGGGTAGAGTTTTAGTTTTCATTCTCATTTTCACTCTGTTGCATCAGTTCTCTTCCACCTTCTAACAGCTCTACATTCTTCCCGTGGAAGTGTGAGGGAACAAGACAAAAAAAAAAAAACCACACCCTTAAATGTCTCTATTTGGGAGTTGAAGTCAGCTTCCATTCCCACTTCTTCATTGTTTGCTTGTTAGCCAGGGTTGGTCATGTCTGCTAAGGATATCCTTGAACTTCTGATCTTCCTCTTACCACTTCTGGAGTCCAGAATTTACAGGCATGGGTCACTGTGCCCAGTCTTCGTTTCAGATTCTTTTAGAAATAGCTTTTAATGTTACTTTTACTATACCACAGGTAAATAAGTGATCATGGTCACCATTGTTTCATTGTAGATTGATAATACCCTAGTTGGTAGCCTGGATATACTACAATATAAAGATTTGTAATTTATAAATCCGACAACAGTTATCATTGTTTTGTTTTTATTTTTGAGACAGGGTCTCATTGTAGCCTTGGTTGGCCTAGAACTCAAAGAGATCTGCCTCCATAGTTCTGAGATAAAAGGTGTGCCATGATGCCTGGCTTTAGTCAGTAATAACTAATTAGAATTAGAAAACATTTTTCAGTGGTGATGCTTACCTTTAATCCCAGCACCAGGAGGCAGATGCAGGCAGATCTCTGTGAGTTTAAGGACAGTCTGGGCTACAAAGCGAGTTCCAGGACAGCTTGGGCTACACAGAAAAACCCTGTCTTTTTTTTTTTTTTTCCTTTTGGTTTTTCAAGACAGGGTTTCTCTGTATTGTTTTGGAAGCTGTCCTGGAACTCTAGACCAGGCTGGCCTTGAACTCACAGAGATCCACCTGCCTCTGCTGGGATTAAAGGCGTGTTCCACCAACGCCCGGCAAAAAACCCTGTCTTAAAAAACAAACAAAATTTATCCTTTGGGGTATGGCAATGCCACAGGTTACATGGTGAGACTCTTGTCTTCAAAAATAAAAAGTAATAAAAAGAAAATACTTTGTACTTGATAGTTGGGGTTAAGAGAGTCACTACTTCAAAACCCCCTTAGCCACGTGGCAGGTTAGGGCTACAGGAGAACCTGTTTCAGAAAAATAAAACCAGGAAGTGTTCTTTATTGTTCCTGTCTTAACCACCTAGCTTATTGAAGTTTGGAGTTAGGCCTCATAGATTCGAGTAGTAATTGCTGCTAATCAAAGACTCCTATCAGGCTATGTCATTGCTCCCTGTAGTTTGTCAGACATTTATGGTCTTTGGAAATTAAACATAAAATGTCATGGCCCAGCCACTCTTGAAAAACAAATGCAGTTGTTTTCTGAGCAGTGCCAGAGATTAATATCTTCTTACGAAGTTCTAGAAGTAAAATGAGGAATGAGAAAAGCCAGGCAGTGCCTTTTCATACTTTCCAGATAGAATTGGTAGGTCACTTTTTTCCCCTTTTAGGTCTGACTATATGGGGATGATTACTTTGGGATGTTTTTTCCTTGAGACAAAGTCTCAAGCCCAGGCTGACCTCACCATATACAGATGACCACCTCCTAAATTCTGGAATCACTTGTGTGGGCCACCACATCTGGTTACTATGGTGTTGATCAAACCCGGGGATTCATGTGTGCTAGGCAATCATTCTACCAACTGAACTTTGCCTTTTTTTCTTTTGTGTTATATGTATCATCACAGTGGTTCTTTTTGTTGTTTTCTTGAGACAGTTTCTCAGTATGAATCCTATAGTGAGTTCCTAAAGAGAATGTAGAAATTAGTATTGGGGAGTGTTTCTTGTTTTTAAATTTTCTCCTGTCGACAGAGAAATAGTTTTTTGTACATCTAGGCTGACTACAGGGACATATACTTTGTGAGGCAGTAATTATTGAACTGCATTTTCATCCAGAAAAAGTATTTGGGACTGGAGAAGTAGCTCAGCAGCTAAGAGTATGTGCTGCTATTTCAGAGGACTGAAGTTCAATTCTCAGTACCCATATCAGGTAGCTCTCAACAGCCTATAACCCTAGATCCAAGGGACCCAGTACCCTCTTTTAGCCTTCGGGAGCACTGTACTCACATACATACGCACACATAAGCATAATGTCCTTTTTTATTTTAATTTTAAGTTTTGTTTTCATTGGTATTTTGCCTGCATGCATGTGTGTCTGTGTGAGGGTGTCAGGCACCC